CCCCATGGGTCCATATCTCCTAGGAAAAAAATCACAAAATTTTTTCCTGAGATATGGGTCTTCTTATTTTATGAAAGGAGCTCATAAAAAAAATTTCAGCCAAATCGGAGATCATGAGGTCATTTTTTACCAAAATCCGTCCGGTTTGTAAAAGAATGACCCGTATAGGGGTCATTCAACATATTCAGCTTAAAAGTAAATTGTAATATAGAGGTATATTGAATAAAAACGCTTGAAATAGTCACATCGCCCAAGTTTTTTTTATCATATTGTTTTTTTCTTAGTTTCAATTACTTTTTTTTTACCTTAAGTAAATTAAGTAAATTAATAAAGTAAATTACAAGCGTTAATTTTTTTTATTAGAAAGTTTTTTTAAGATTTAATTTTAATTGTTAAAATTTGTTTTTTTATTATTTTCACATAAAAGAATTTGTTTTTTTTTTAATCTGTTACTAAAGAAATTTAAAGAAATATAGTTATTATTAGAATGGTTACTTATAATTACAATTATATAAAAATAATAATGCTAAAAATTCGAAATAATAATGCTAAATTGCACCCATTGTAAATTTGCTTGCTAAACACATCAGGTGTTTGTTTTTTTTTTTTTTGATTTTACAATTTTGTTGCTTTCTCTAATTGTTTTTTGTAGCTAGGTGCATCAGCGCATGGAGTGACGTCACTGCTACGATGCTGGTAAGTGTTCTACCACCAAAGTAATTAAAATATAAATATAAAAAGAAGAAAAAAAAACAAACAAGTTGATGCATAGGAAGCTATTTATTTTTTTCATTTTTGTTATATATATCTCCTTTTATTTTATTATATAACATATATATACATATGGTTGTGGATTGAATTTCCTTTGTAAATATCTTATGAATTTTTTTTGTTTACATGAATATACTAATAACAATTGAGAAATGTTGTTAAAAATGAAAATTTGTTTTATATGTCAGTAAATTTTAATATATTTTTTATTATGAATATATATATAAATATATGAATATGTTTTTTTTATTATATAAATAAAGCTTATATTTAAGGCGTAAAAATTTTAAATTCAATTTTTTTTGATTGTTTTTTTTATTGCCCTTAAATATAAATGACAGATATAGTTTTTTTTTATAGAATAAGCCTAATCATGGCTAGATAAATTATAGGCTCTATGGGTAGTACAGGGACATACCACGAGGTATGTGTAAGGTGAAATGTTAGTAAACTGATGGTACATACAAAACATTTGACAGGACTGAAAGACAGATAGGGTTACTGGGAGGGGTAAAAATGTTCTCTAATGGTTTACATAGATTTGGAGACATATATACAGTCAGAGTCATAAGTCTACAAGCAGGCAGTACAAAAAACTTTGTTTGAAAATATTTTCCAAAAAAATTAATTTATTTGAAACATACTTTGTTGTTTTTTTAAAACATTCAATGCACAATGTTTCCGCGAAGTTTCTTTGCATTTGTTGCAAAAACAACCGAGATAACGGTACTTTTATCACAAAGCGTAGCAAAACAAGCGATCAAAAGTCTACAAGCACTTAGTATAAGGCAAAGTTTTAGTGTAAAATTCCTGATTTTTTATGCAATTTAGTAACTAGTTGGGTAACCGTAATGCTTATGAACTTGCACTAGACGGTTTTTCATCGAAACTACAAGTTTACTGATCTCCTGAGTTGTTATTTCGCCCCATTCCTTTAGGATTATGTCTTTTTGATCCTATTTGGTCGAAATTGAATATTTATGAGTTTATCTTTTCAAAAATCCCCATAAATGTTCAATCGGATTTCGATTAATTAAAGATATGTAAGGCATCCTTCGTGCTATTCTACCATGAAAACCGGCCCATTTCAAAATTCTGCGTGCAGTAACCACGAAAATATTTTTTGCAAATCTTTCCTGTATATTACGTACAATTTCCAATGCCGTCAAAAGTGGATTTTTCTTTACTGAATTTAATATTAAGTGGATTTCACGGTGAGTAAGTTTCGATAGGTGAGCAGAACGCGTCTTTGACGTGATAATTTCGGTAGTTTTCCAATTTCTGATCACGGTATGGACTGAACAGTGTGATCTTCCAAACATATGTCCAATTTCCCGGTTCGACTTCCCTTCCTCCCAAAATTTTATGATGATTTTTCTTTCTACGACGCTTATTTCTTTCCGGTGAGACACCATTGCCAGTTTGTAGTAAATATTTTAAGCAGAATACAATTTTTTGCCGTTTTATAATTAATTAACATACCACAAACACAATAAGGCGCAATCCAAATGTTTACAAATTAACATTTAACTCGCCTTAGAACTGCAGAAATACCTAATGCATGTAAACTTTTGATCGCTTGTTTTGCTACGCTTTGTGATAAAAGTACCGTTATCTCGGTTGTTTTTGCAACAAATGCAAAGAAACTTCGCGAAAACATTGTGCATTGAATGTTTTAAAAAAACAATAAAGTATGTTTCCAATAAATTAATTTTTTTGGAAAATATTTTCAAACAAAGTATTTTGTACTGCCTGCTTGTAGACTTATTACTCAGACTGTATATAGAATTAGTCAATGGCACGATTTTTATTTATTTTTGTTTGATGTCTGCGGTGGTAACTGAATGCCAAGAACCACACACCGAAACCGGCGAGCATACCGGGCCTGCCACCGTGCCATGTTCGGCATCTAAGGACCCCACTAATAACAACAGGCAGATATAACAAATGTGACCTATTTTTAGAAAATTTTATTTTCCTTATTTTAAAGAAAATTTTTTCTATATTATGTAAAAAACGATTATATTTAGAGAAACAAACATATTTCTTATTGTTATATGCTTTTTATTTCATAATTTTTGGTTAAGTAATAAAGTTTTAATTATATAATGTTTGAAAATGACATCTCTATCTTTATCGCAACCTATACAAACAACCCTTACATTATATGAAAGGTAATTTTATCTTCTTTCAAATGAGCTATAAAAGAAAATAATGGTACCTCTAGTTTAAAAGTTATTAATGTATTAGTGACCCCATCTTTTGGGGCTGATTTTTATTTTTCATTTTTCATACAAATTACATCATTTACACATAAAAGTCGAATGTAGATAGTAAATTAATTCAATTTTCTACTTAATAATGCCATTTGCCGCATTACATATAATAAAATAATAAATTTTTCCTAAATTAGAGTATACTGCATTTTTGAAGCGGCGAAAAATGTTCCAATTCCATTTTGGACTTATCGTCGACGCTATCTTCACGCACATATCGCAGTCAGTAAATAAACTCAAGCATATACACACTACAATATAATCTTTATAATAAAGATTTACAATAAAAAACATATATACAAAAATGAAACGTATCATTTATTTACATAGTAAGTTATATTAATTACATTTTATATAAAGAAAACAATGAATATATATCTATTATATTATTATATTGTATTGACTAATGAAAATGTAGCATAAATGCTAACTACAGTTAAAAAATGCTGTTACACTTTCTCAAAAGGAGGAAATTACTAGTTACTGTTCCGAAGCTTTATTTAATTATAAAGGATATCGCCTTTTAAGTAACTGTTAAACATATTTAAACCTATCTAGAAAATATATTTATATTAATTTTTTTTGATCCTAATATGATAAAATATGCCAAAAATATGTCTACTTCCTCTAATGTTGACACATCAACTCTCACTTATGCCGTCGTATGATAAAAAAAATAATGACTAAGCATGACGCGTAAAGCTACGTTTACATTGTATGCGGATTTTGTCTTGCGTGTCTGTAAGAACAAATCAAATGTATGTAATCGTATGTGAGTGTTAACAGTTGGTGAGAACAATTCGCGTGACGTCATGTCCTTCTCATGCGAAAATTTGATTAAACAAAATATTTTGTTTGAAATTTATGCGTTCGCGCAAAATCGAAGGTGTAAATAATGAAATTAAGAGGTGTATGTTACTTTCACGTAATTTTAAGTTTATAAATAAAAATAAATTTGAAAAAGACTACTACTTTTAGGAAATGGATTGCGATTTTTTGTTTGAGAAATAGATAAACTCGATTTTTATACTTTGAAGAATAAAAATCATGCTTCTAAATTCATCTTTTGTTATTTGAAATTAATAGATAATTTAATAACGAATTTTCCGCTACATATATTTCATCTTTACTTTCCATTTTGTTTTCAAAACAAACAAAATAGAACTGTTAATTTGCAAACAATGTAACCGGAGCAAGTGATGTGTTCTCATGCGAAAACATATGCACGAACAAGCAGGACAAAATTCGCATGCAATGTAACCATAGTCTAATACCGCTTAAAACAGAAATTTACCTTGTGTTATAAAACATTTATTAATTATAGGTGTATTCAGCAGCTCCGAAGTAGTGCTGTTCGTATTCGGTTCTCCGAAGTATCCGCAGATTCCAATTAATCGGATAATAAACGAAGTCTTCGAAGTTGGAAATAAATCCGGATTTTTTGTAAATCCGAAGTCTTCGAATATCCGGATTTGCGGTTTTTATTCGCAGTTAAATTTTCGAAGACTTCGTGAGCAAAACTTAAAGAGAAGCACATTGTATTTTTGTAAGAGCACAAAATACAAACTAACGTGCATCAAACAAGTTCTTTGAGGGATGATAGAATTTGCTTTGTTTGTATGATTTTGGGGTTTTTGGTATTTTATGCAAAAAATTGCATGTGTGCAATGTTTGCTTTATTTTATTACATAACTAATAACTAAAAAATTTGCATTTTAAATAACTCATATTTTTAATTTATATTAAAAAAATTTACACTAAAGAAAATTTTAAATATGATATAAAATACATACGTCAAAATTTGATATAATTAATATTCTGCAATACGTCTATAATGTAAGTGCTTGCGCCTTGGTCCACCGACGACAAAAAATATGTATGTAAAAGCCAATAATAAAAACGCTTATTAACACTGAATATTCCATTTCCATTTGAAGTCCCAATTTATTCGTAACTTCTCTTTTGAAATACAATGGTATTGGAATATCAAATCCAGTTTTTGACAATTACTATGGCGTTGTTCTCTTTTACATTTGACAGTTTAACACAATGGTTGGTTTCCCCAAAGTTAAAAATATATTTGTAAAATATATAGACATCCGTTGAATAAACATATAATATTAGCAAAATAAATATTTTTTTAATGGTTGTGTTTGTAATTTTAACTATATTTTATAAAAATATGAATTGTAGGTTAAAGTCAAGTGCTCAGATTTGCGCGCAAAGGATAAGAAGGAGTTGAATAAGCAGCTCGATGAACTTAAGAATGAATTGCTTAGCTTGCGTGTAGCCAAGGTTACTGGAGGAGCTCCTTCAAAACTTTCAAAAATGTAAGATTCTCCAAATTTTTGATAACATTTATAAAAATATAAATATTGCAGAAGAGTTGTTCGAAAGGCTATTGCTCGTGTATATATTGTTATGCATCAAAAGCAGAAGGAAAACTTGCGCAAAGTTTTTAAAAATAAGAAATATAAACCTTTGGATTTAAGAAATAAACAAACTCGCGCTATTCGTAAAGCACTTTCCCACAGAGACTCTAATAGGAAAACTGTGAAAGAAATCCGTAAGAAGTCAATTTACCCACTAAGAAAATTTGCTGTTAAAAACTAATTTTTCTGTAACCAAATGGGTAATAAAATAATAAATACTGTTTAAAAAATAGTTTCAATTTCTGTCAAAAATGCTAGAATTCTTGGTGTTTTAGATTATTGATTTCGAAATACAAGTGAACTATGGTTGTAATATTATTAAATATGTAGTGACAAGGAAATGATATTAATGCCTATCAGTTATTAAAAATTAATTTTTATCAAACTTTATAATCAAGGATATTTCACCAAATTACAATCTTAGAGATGTAATTATATACAGTGACGAACAAAATTATTGGCACAGCAAGCAAATTGAACTTTAGCACTATTTTTATCCTGTTAATGGTGCGATTTTTAATAAACAAACAATTTTTTTTATATAAAATGCTTAATTTGCTTTTAAATTCATTTTATTTTCTCTTATATTTAATTTTTTAAAATTAAAAACCAAAAAAAGAACTAAATTTGGCTGAACCAAATAATTGGCACAGCTTCATATCTAGTCTTATAAGTCTCGAAAACAGATCCCATTTCCATTACGAGTTATACGAGACAATTTTTCTTTGATAAAACTAAATGCTTAGATTTGTATTTGTACGCTGGAAAAAAGTAATACTACATCAGGCTATGACATGAATAATGAACAAGTTCTTTATTGCCAAATATGTAGATATACAATGGCTCACAGTTTACTTGATGTAGACCAAAACAGAATTATTCACCCCTATTCTAAATAGAACAGAATTATTCACCCCAAGTTTGCTATTCTGAATAATATGGGAATGGGAGTTTTGTTCTCTGTTCCTAATTTTTTAAGATTTGAAATATATTTCTGCCTTATTTTCTCGAATTCGACTTTAACCATCGGAACTCTTAAATCGAAATGTATGTTTTCATTTCTGATATACCAGGGTGCACCAGTTATCATTCATAAGATCTTTGCTTGAGCTCTTTGCAGGATTTCTACATTAGACGAACAGGCATTGCCATATAGCTGTAAGCCATACATCCAGATTGACTTAATAACTTGGTTGTATAACAAGACTTTGTACTCTAAACATAAGGGATTAGCCAGCGAAGGCTTAAAACCTTAAGCTTCATTTGAGTATTTTTTGTTTCAATATGTTTCCGCCAAGTTAAGCGTTTGTCAAGGTGAATACCAAGGTACGTCACTGTTTCTGTTTGCGGAACTACTATTCCGTTGAGAGTGATAGTTGGTGATGAGGATCTGTTAAGAGAGAATATTATATGACGACATTTTTACTCATTGACTTTAATTCGCCGTTCTGATAACCAGCTTTCAATGGAATACAAATGATTTTGCAGTTGACTGGAAGCGATTGCGTCATTCTTATGTCGACACAAAATAGCGGTATCGTCAGCAAATGTTGATATTACTAAATTGTTATTTGTAGTGATATCTGAAGTTAAGATGAGGTACAAGAATGGACCAAGAACGCTGCCTTGTGGAACTCCTGCACTTATTGGAAAGTCATTAGTTGTTGCATATTGTACTTTACATTAAAAGATCTGCCTATCAAGTATAATTGAAGTACAGCGTGTGAGTTTTGCGGGAGTACTTGTCGTATTTTGTGTATCAGGCCCTCATGTCATACTTTGTCGAACGCTTGTGCAACATCTAAAAAGACACCAGAGCAATATTCTCGAGCACTTCTTATTTCGTTTGTTATTCTGTTCACTTGCTCGATAGTACCATGTTTTTGACGAAATCCAAATTGATGGCTTGGGATCAAGTCTCTTTCTTGGAGGAAAGGCATAAGTTTTGCAAGGAACACTTTCTCAAATAATTTTGACAGACAAGGCAGCAAACTTATAGGTGTATATGATGCGGCTAGTGTTGTATCCTTTCCGGACTTTTGAACCATTATAATTAACGCTTTTCTCCATTCCGTCGAGATATGTCCAAATTTTATTATGGCGTTAAAAATCTTTGTAATGAATGAGATTGCTACGAAGGGCAGATTTTTTAACATAATTGGAGTTATATAATCGTGTCCAGGTGCTTTTTTGCACACAAGTTTTTCTTTGATGGTTACCTTGATATCGTTTGCGGAGATTTGTAAGTTGATAATATTATTGTTAATATGTTGAGCTGGTAAATTCAAATTATTGGAGGGATTTGGTTGAAAAATTTGACTCAGATGATTAGCAAATACATTAGCTTTTTCTTCGTCGCTGCGAGCCCATTCACCGCTGGAGTTTCTTAACGGAGGCACTGCTTCAACAGGTGTTTTTATAGTTTGATAAGCCTTCCAGAGTGATCCTTTGTTAGCCATGTTTGGGGACAGCTTCTTAATATATTCGTATTGTTTGTTTTCTTTGTCTCTTGCAAGAGCGCTCTTTAGTCGATTTACGAATTCTTTTAATTTAGATTTGGTTGGGGATCTATTTTGTTGCCATTCTCGACGAAGTTTTCTTTTTTCGGCTAGAAGTCTTTCGATTTTACTGTTGCTAAATTGCTGCTTTCTTACCTGAGAAGGCAAATATTGTGGTGTAGAAATTTCGTCAGCTGAGGAGAGAATCATGTTGAATACTTGTGCTGCATCATTTACCTGGTATTTGTTTTTAATTTTATAATTGGTATGAACGTGAGTACTTATGTATTTCTTAAATTTCAGCCAGTTGGTGTTTTGAGTTGTAAGTCTTTGTGGACCTTGAATTAGTTGGGGTTCTTCATGAACTATTAGGAAGTTTGGAGAATGATCTGATGATAATTCATAACTTGTGTACACCGAAATGGAGTCACGACGAATACCCTTTATTACGACGAAATCACTAATATCTGGGATTTTGTTGTTGTCTGATGGCCAATACGTAGGATGCCCGGGTGATGCGACATCTAGTTTGTTGTTCTTGTTTGTTATCACGTTAAAGAGTTTTTGACCTTTAGGATTGCAGAGCCGAAAGCCCCAAAAAGTGTGTTTTGCATTGTAGTCTCAAGGTACTGCATTTCGTTTAGTAAAAAGCGAGGCGGGCAATACACTGCTGATAGGGTAAGATTGTAGGTAAAGCATTGTATGCAGACTGAAGTTGCTTGAAGGAAATTTTCAGCACATGAGCTCACAAAATAGTGTTTCAATCTTCTTCGGACTAAAATTCCCGTACCTCCATGTGCCTTGCCGTCAGGATGATTTGTTTTATAAAATATATAATTGGGTATAAAAAAGTGGTTTTTATTAGTTAAGTGAGTTTCAGATATGAGCATCACATCAACTTCATTTTGGTTTAAAAAATTCAAAATTTCTAATTTATGTTGGCTTATGCCGTTTGCATTCCATGCAAACAAGGGAGACAAGTTAAAAGAGTATTAAAACTAGTTTAATTTAATATGAAAGTAACTGAAAATGATCAGATTTTTGAATATATTTTAATAAAATTATTATTATAATAAAATTATTATTATAATAAAATTATTATAATAAATTTAATATTTTCAAAGTTTTATTTTTTTATTTTATCGACAAGGGTTGATTAGTTTTTTGAATATATTTTAATAAAATTATTATAATAAATTAACATAACTGAATTTTTATATAATATGTTTTATTTACATTATTATTTTAATAAAAGCATTATAACAAATTTAATATCATAGCAAATCTGTATACTCCCAGGAAACAAAACTCCCTATTCCCAAACTGTTCCCAAAAACACAACTTCTTTATTCAGAATTGCTTGGGAGACAGCAGTTTTGGGAATAACAACAGTTTCAAATTTGTTTTGTTAAATTTTGGCAACCATTACACTTTTTAATGACGAAAAGTGCGAAAATGAGTAAGACATAGAAAAGAATTGCGTATCGTATGTTGATTTAAATGTATAAATCGCAATTTGTCTACTGCATAAATTATCAGAAATATATATAATGAATGTTTTCTAAGTAAATAATAGAAAATTTTTACTTTATTTATTTATTTTATTATTTAAATAAGTATATAATTTATTATTTTCTTATATACAATAAAACATAGTCAAACATCTTTTTTATTAATTGAAATTATTAATGTTTTAATTCAAATTTGAGCTCCTCTCCAAAACTTGTATTTATTTTTATAATTTGGATAGAAATTACTTTAAATTAATAAAGAAATAATAGTTAATGATTGTGCAGATGTAACAATAAAATAGAAGCAATGTTTTTCCTGCATGTAATTGATTTGTAATTTCTTTGTTTTGATCATTTTTGCACTTTTCATCATTAAAAAGTATCATGGTTGCCAAAATTTAACAAAACAAATTTAATACTTTTGTTGTTCCCAAAACGGCTGTATCCCAAGCAATTCAGAATAAGGAAGTTGTGTTTTTGGGAACAGCGTGGGAATAGGGAATTTGTTCCCTGGGAGTATTCAGAATTGTTTAAAAATGACTCTCCCAAACAGACGATATATTCTCTTTTAAAACAAGTGAATACAGTGCGTAGAACAAAATCCGATCCCCAACCAAAAATTTATCTTCCTATGACGTATATCGCTGGGTTTTCGGATAATTTTCGCAAATCTAAGTGCTATAATAATGACACGCACACATTGGCTTTCAAAGCGAGAAACACGCTTAAAAATCATTTTTTTTAATAAAACAAAAACTCTAATGGACAAACTAGATGAGCATGATGTCGTGTACAAAATTCCATGTGGAGGTGACGGGTCTAACATATGCCAGCAGATATATGTCGGTACAACAAAAAACAAACACAGGACGAGAATCGCTGGTCACAGACACGACATAAATAGCAGAACAACTCCCGATGACCAAAAGACAGCATTAGTAACCCATTGCTCTATTATGAACCATACTCCAAATTTTGAAGAAATACAGATCATCAACAAAGCTTGAAATGTAACCATAGAAAAATTTAATATATATTTATAACTATAAAAAAATTTTTAATTTATCCTCCATTGTTACCCATTTAAAAAATATTTCCGTTTTTTTGATTTTAATTTTAATTTTTTTTTCATATTTTCATGGAATTCTGAAATGTGTTTCAATTTTTTCTGTGCTGAAAAAAATTTTATTTAAAATTAAATTTAAATTATTTGACAGAACGTT